CCAAAGTTGAGGGGCTTTCACCCAGCCTCTAGAGCCTGGCACTTTGAACTTGGACTTAAAGCCTCCAAATTGTAAGAATAAACTCCTGTTTGTTAAGGCCATCCCATTTGTGGTATATTCTTGTCAGGGCGGCACTAGGTAACCAGAACACTAGGCTATTCCACAACAGCATGCCCCTTCACCCTCACTGATTTTTATATCTTAGTGAGAACAGTTCTGGCTCAAGGGAGATACTCATTAAAGTATTTGTTGAAGGAATAAATGAAAGAATGTCCTATAACAATCAAATCTTGTCACTTACATTGTCTGTAGTGGTGGCCTGAGGCCAGACTATACCAACCCCTCTGCCCTCGAGTAACTGCAGGGCCGAAGGTTTCAATCTCCAGTGTTTGCATGGGCCAGAGAAGTACCATACAAGTGGGCACCATCGCCAGATATTTGCTTCGTTAGCATGCAGGAAGTGTCTTCATTTCTACTCCAGCCTCTTGAAAGAGGTCTACCTTTTATTTTTCACTCTTTGCTGCCATATACAGAGCAGTGCACATGTCACAACAAATGGCAACTGACTCTGACTCGTAGGTGTGAGAAGTGACAAAAGATTGGAGAGATGGGGAGCCAGCCAGTACACAACCAGCCCCAGCTAAGTGGTTCCCACGAGAGACTACAGGCCCGCCCTTGCTGGAGTTGGAGTTTTTCAAGGGAAGCTGGAAGTCGATTTTTTATGTGAAATCTTGAGTCTTGAAAATGCTGGGTCAAATTTATTTTGAACAATGTCTAGGCTCAATGTGACCCACACCCCTCTGGTGTGTAACCTCTGCTTTATGGGGAAGAGGCAACTAGAGCTTTCCCAGTGCAGTGTAAGGTGAGAAGCAAGGATTACCTGGTACCCAAAATCAAGCTATAATCCATGTGCCTTTTGGGAACTAATTACTACCCAATAAACTTAGCTGATTCCACATCAGTCTTTTCTAAAATACGGTTTTAAATTTTACTGTTTAACCCACAGGGCAACCTTATTGATTCTCCCATCTCCAGGTGGCTTTTTTCTAATTTCCACTGAAGATCACAGGCATTCTTCCCCTCCATTCTCACTTCATTGCTGCCTCTATTCCTGGGCCCAAGACAAAGCTCGTCAATGACCGCTTGGCTCCCTAGGACATCTTACCACCTGTTTATTGTTATTTCAGTATAAAATCACTGGGTTCAAAACTGCAAGCTTGATTACAGAAGTCTAAATGGTAAGATTCCCAATTCCATATGAACTGCTTCAGCATGTCCTAGAGAGCAAACCCCAAGGAAAACAGAAGTCAGTCAAGAGAAGAAATTGGTATTGAGAACTGCATATTTTTCCATTCTGTTAAAGAAAGGAAAATCCCATTTGTTCCACAGCTAGGGATACCCAAGGCCGTAACCGGGCTTTAGGCTGCAATGCATCTACGTTTGACTAAGAGCTCCAAGCAATGGTGCACACCACACTGAGCCAGCATACGGGAAGCCCCCCAGCAGCTCACCAGTTCTTCCCTCAGCTTTCCCAGCGTCTCTATCTGGTTATTCCGTGTACTCAGCACACCTGAGAGCTTCTCCATGAGGATGTCGTATTTGCTCCTCCTGTGACAGACAAAAAGAAGTCCGTTTACCCACACCTGCTGCCAAAGACCACCTTTTTAAAAATGACAGGACTTCAAACTATCAACCATTAGTCTTAGGTCTCAAAGATCATCCAGTCCAACCCCTGCATTTGACAGCTGGTAAAACTGAGGTGCTGGGCAATTCAGTCACATGTCCAGATCACCAACTACTGAGTGGCAGTGTACAGACTAGACTCTCTGGCTAACACTTTAATGAGGTGAGTCTTTAAACACCTCACATTTTTATAATACTTTACAGTTCAGGAAGCATCTCATTTACTTCTTTAAACAGCATTTGGTGAGGAAAGACAGGCGTCATTCCTAAGGACACTAACTGGTTTTCCTAATGCCCAGGCCCCATATGCAAACCTAGTCTTCTCCCTGAATGCACAGCTCTCTACCATGCCAAGCTGCCTCTCTGATGCTGAGGCCCTAGCTCTGACTTCAATGGCAAGATCAATGCCACTGTCTCTGCAATGTTTACTCTGTGAGGTGATGTCGTAATGGTCATCAAAGGAAGCTATGAAACAGCCAAGGGCTCCTCAGGTGTGGGTGCCCAGGGGAGGCTGATGCAGGGAGGAGTCTTACAAATCAGGTAAGCTAGGAAGGGCACTATGGCTTTAAGTATCCATAGACCCAGGGGAAGGTAAAGGACATGTATGGGATGCCGACCGCACCCACTTCATTTTTACTGCACCTCAACCACTGAACATGAAGGGACTTGTCAAGTAGAAAGCAGTACTAAGCACTGTGTGATGGCCATTTCGTAGAAGAAATGGTAGTTCAAAGAGGTCAAGGGACTTTACCCAGGCAAGTGGCAAAGATCTAAACACAGATCTTGACTTAATCTAGTATTCTCTCTGCTACTCATGGCTGCCACCCTATGTTCTGTTACCAGTTATGAGATTGGTGATACAGGTATTTAACTGAGAGACAGAATGACTAAGTAATTAAAATGTGGGTTCACTGCAATAGAATATGCCCAAAATCTAGGCATGAAGTCAAATTAGGAATTGATAGGCATACAGTGATAAGATTCACTCTTGGAAATCCTGAGTCAGCAGTTGTCTACCCACACGTTTTAAAAGCATTTTCTTTGGCTCTGGAGTATGGAATTGCCCCTGTAAACTTTGCAACTTACATTTAACCAACAGTGCTCACTCCTCCTCACCCTTTAGATGGGAGGCTGGGCCACTGGGGTAAAGGGCAGGGCCTCTGCCACTTGGCCAGGGGAAACTCCCAACACCACTCCCATGATCTAAGGAAAGGTCTGCCCACCCACATCCCTCAACACTGCCTGCCTCTGCCACCACCAAGGAGCTGCTGATGGCCAGGCCCAAGGGGGTTGGAGCTTACTCCCCCAGAGTCTCTTATCCTAGGGGCCATGTACCAGCTCCACCTCTCCCCCCTCTGCTTTCTGCTCTTCCAACAAAGAAGGATGTGAAGTTGTGGAGTGGAGGCTGAGACCGCTCTGCGCTGGGAAAGCTCCTTTCCCCTGGTCCTCTTCCAGGTCATCAGTCACCCCAACAGAGAGCAGTCAGAGTCAGGGATAACCTGCTCACCTCCAGAGACTGGCCACCCCCAGAAGGAATGTGCTTATTTCACCAGCTTGCTACATTCTCTGGGAAACACTGCTGTAACAGTATCATCAAATTCAACAGAAATCTTAACCGAGCCCACTGCTGGACGGTGAGATTTTAGGTAATTTTCCCCTTGTGTTTTGGTATAATTTCTAGATTTTCTAAATAATCATCATCAGAGATAAATAGTAAGTATCTTTTTTGAAGAAGCTACAGTCATACTCTGGTCTGGTTTCTATGAATTTCAGGGCACGACACATATGGCCACCAACATAAAAGACACCAAGTGCTTTCTGTTGGCACACAGTACCTGTCCACATGGAAGCGGTTCAGGAGGAGGAGGATTGAGTGTTGCTGGGCTCCGGTAGGTAAGCGGATCACGTGTGACTGCATTGTAATGAGCCCATTTTTGTTCAGGATTTTCCTGTGATAGTGAAGCTTCCCGGCATCAACCCTAGATAAGAGAAAGCATGTGGGCTGTTATCATTCTCCTTTGTTAGTAGCTTTCACCCCACAATGTATGAAACCTCTCATTTGGACACAAGCAGCACAGGGAAACATATCTATTACGTAGCCAACCTAAAAGAACAGTCACTGTGAAATAATGGCCATGGTGAGAAAAGTCACATCTCCACCAAAGAACAGCCCCAGGATTTCCCAGGAAAGGTGGATGTGTGATGGGCATTAGAGGCAACAGGAAACAGAGTGAGGAAGAGAGAGCTGGGATGGGAGATAATAAAGGGTTAATGAGGGGCTGATCAAACCTGAATCTCTCATCTTGTAGTGGCCAATAACTAGGTGGGCCATAGATCCCAGTTTGCCACAAAGAGTCAAAATTTATGCCCACAGCTTTGGCATCCCTTCTGGTCAGCTCCACCTTTCATTCTCAAAGTTATTTTGGTTTGTACAGTAAATTCTACGGTCACATTCAGGTCTCTTCCAAAAAAAAGAACATTGTGCTCCTAATCACTACAGATGACAGGACTGCGCAGGCCACAGGGATGACAGAACAAGGGACGCCATGTCAGAGGCCCCTGTTTTGAAGTGAGGGCACAGAGAGGAGAAAGCTTCCTCTTACTTGAAAGCAGTGCTGTGAAGGTCTCGCTGGAGTTCTCCTTCCCACCTGGACCTGCCTAATCGCTCCAAAATGCAGTAAGAGAAGTCGGGGAGCTTCAGGTCAGGGTCCCCCTCTGAGCCGATCAAGGCCCTGTAACGCATGTCCTGGGAGGCAACAATGATCAGCTTCTTCCCCCACCTGCAAATCAGAACCACATGAAGAAATGAGTTTAACTGATTTTGAGAAAACCGAAACATGTTTTTATCTGAACCTTATAGAAGAAGTTTGCTTCTTCCTAGAAGTTCACAATATCCCCAATTAAGTAAGTTTTCAGGGTCTTAGAGCTGCTCTGAATGAGCAGAATCAGTCTTATTACTCTCTCTTAATGCTCTCCCAGGGTTCTTTGAAAGTGGGTGATACCAGCATGATGATGGCATAAGCAACTGCACGCTGCCGTCTGCCACAGAAACACCAAAAACAAGCACAAACTAGCCAACCAACTTTGTCAGAACTCTGGAAACCAGTCCAAGGATTCCAAAGGTTTACTAGTGAACACGGAATCAAGAAAAAGGCAACTTCAAAACGGTAGGAAAACTTTCATTTTCTATGTGTCTGTGGCATCCCTACCCCTAGCTTCTGGTTCAGTGGTGACAACTCACATTCCCGGAGAAAAACCCTAGTTCTTTGCTCTGGAGGAAGCAGAGCATACCTTATTCACAAATTACTGTGTGTGTCTGGGGCTACCTGAGAGACTGGCACAAGGTGCACATCTGTTTGGCCGACCTCAGAACTCACAAAGGGCAAAGAAGGCGTTACCTGAAAACCATAACCTCCTGCGGCTACCTGGAGCTAAAGAGTACAATTGAGACATACAATAAATACATAAAGACTGGAAGGAAAAGTCAGGGAATGAGGTTTTCTGGGGAAAATTAGGGTATTCAGGAGCATGAGGAAGACTTCCAGCAAGATGGAAGACCAGGCAGACAAATCACCCAGATCCTTTACAACAAAGAACCAAGAAACCAAATAAAATAGATAATGGATGATAATCCCAGAGCCCTGAGGTTCAAAGGAAAGGATAAAGAAGTAGATCAAATACCAATTAGAGGAAGAAATTGAATGAAAACAGCAAACAAGGAGACATGTGGTGCAGTGAAGTGTCAAGTGGACCACAGAGTGTGACTGTTCTGAATTTTTTGCAAGCAGCGTTCTGATCAGGGCCTGATCATTAGTCTGCTCATGCAGGATTGCACCAGCACCCATGCTGGTGGATGATGAGCAGAAAGCTGCAATCTCCCACTTATTCCTCACGCACTCCCAGTGACAGAAGTGTGACCACTCCCTACCTTCAACCACCTGGCAGCCGATGCTCCCAACCAGATCCCTGACCTGCCTGAGTTTAGAGCGCACCTTTGCGGAGTAAGCACCACATGCTCTCTGTCTCCGTGAACAGCAGAGTCCACCATTCTAGACCAGTCACCGTGCCCCCTGTTGCCTTTTCAGGCAGACAGAACACGTCATCCCTGAGTGGGCACCCCGCCTACAGCTGCCTCCTGGGCTGGCAAAAGTGTGCCGTCCTGGACTGGGTGCCCCCTTCCCTCCCATCTTCTCGGCTGGCAGAGCATGCCACACTGCACCAGGTGCCCCAGCTCCCAGTTATCTTTCTTTTTCTTTTTTTCCCCCCCTTTCTTTTCCCTCTTATTGTTGCTCTCTCCTTTGTTGTTTTCTTTCTTCTGACCCTTGTTTTTAATTCAAGTTTTTTTGGCTGTTCCTTTTTTTCTTGTTTTGGTTTTGTTTTGTCCCAGCCGGTGGGAGGCACCAACAGCATCCAAACTGCCTACCTACACCAGCACATCCTGCAGCCACACCAACTGGGTGAATGCCACCACCTGCTCTCACATCATCTGAATGATGACAGATGGTGGCCACTACCAACCCAGCCTGTCCTCAACTTCTACTACATGAACAGCAAATAGAGAACTGCACACACACTCCCCACCTCTATCACACCCACACCAAAGAGGAGAGAGCTGGTAAGCGCCTATGTGCAGCTAAACTAGTGAGTTAGAGTAGCACATCCACCATGCACACCCAGATATATCAAAACAAAATAAAGGAAAATCTTGGTGGAAACACACCAACATATACTTATCAATTGCATACAAATATACTACCACCAAAATGTCTCACAGACAACAGACAACCACAGTTCACACAAAGAAACTAGATAGGGTCGTTCAAATATGTGACCAAAATACAGAGACAGAAAACCTTCGTGAGGAAGAAATGATATTGGAACTATGTGATGAGGCATTCAAAAAAATTATATTTAGGTACCTTCAATGGATTGAAAGGGAGATCAAGGAAAACAGAGCCAGATTTAAGGACAACAAACAAAACTAGAATATTTAATAAAACAATACTAGAACAAACGACCAAATAAATGGAAAATTAGAAGCCACACAAAAACAGTAAATAGAAATCTAGATGATTACTACTGAAGTTTCAGAATAGATAACGCACTGGAAGGACAAAGTAGCAGAACTGAATCAATCAAAGACAGAATTAGTGAAACTGAAGATATATGACAATACTAATCTGTTAGGGAAGCAGTCAGAAAAAAGAATGGAAAAAAAAATGAAGAAAGCCTAACAATCACATGGGACACCATCAAGAGGAATAACGTACATGTGATTAGAATTCCATATCAGGAAGAGACAAAAAAGACCACAGGGAAAAATGTGGATAATTTGTTGGGAGAAAACTTCCCTAATATCATAAAAGACAAGGAGATATGCATTCAAGAAGCTCAACGAACCCCAAGTAGGATATACCCCAAAAGAAAATAATGAAGACACATCATAATCACCCTTTTCAAACCCAAAGACAAAGAATCCTGAAGGCAGGCTAAAAACCTACTGAGGAGAACCAATTAAACGAAGCTCGATTTCTCAGCAAAAACCATGCAGTCAAGAAGGATGACATACATAAAACCCTGAAAGAAAAAAAAAATCCAAACTAAAATCATATATCCAGCAAAACTGTCCCTCAAATACAATGGTAAAATTAGGACATTTCCAGATAAACAGAAATTAAAGAAATTTTTAAAAACCAGACCAACCTTACAAGAAATATTAAGGAGAGCTCTTTGGACAGAGAACCAACAACAGACAACAGAGATTACACACATGACAACATCACCCAGAAACCATCTCAGATACAGAAGTATCCAAAGTAAAAGAGACCTACAAGACTGAAAACAGGGAACTAGAAAGTTCAATTTGTAAATGAGGACAATGACAAGTACAAAGATGAAATAAATGGTGTAGCTACAAAACTGTCCAAATGGAGAGGAAGTCAAGATGTTATTGTTGTTGTTATGTGCTGTCGAGTCAGACCTGACTCACAGCGACCCCTTCTTGGGTTTCTGAGGTGGTATCACACTACGGAAGTATATTGCCCAACTTTCCTTCCGAGGAGTGGCTGGTGGGTTTGAACCACCAGCCTTCTACTGTCCAAATGGTGAGGAAGTCAAGATAGTAACAAGATAAAAGGGAGTGTTTTAAACCTGGGAAGAAAGTAATAATTGCAGGGTAACTTCAAATACTTTCTCATCTCATCAAAATAACAGAGGAAAATCATAAAGACCTAGTAGACACTAAAACAGCAATGAAGGAAACAAGAAAATCCATAAACAAAATAAACTCGGCACAGAAAAATATACGGAACAAAGAAATCATCAGCAACCCCTCCCCTCAAAGAAAAAAACAGAGCACAGTGACAGCAATAAATTCATACTTATCAATAATTACACCAAATATAAATGGGTTAAATGTACTCCGTTAAGAGAGAGAGTAGCAGAACGGATAAGAGGAATTGTTTTGGTAACCTAGTGCCGCTCTGACAAGAATATACCACAAATGGGATGGCTTGAACAAACAGGAGTTTATTCCCTTATGGTTTGGAAACTTTAAGTACAAGTTCAAAGTGCCAGGCCCTAGGGACTGGGTGAAAGCCCCACAACCTTGAGGTCCAGCTCTGCCTCCTGCTCCCGGCCCACTGGAGCTAGAGGTATTTCTTCACTCAGACACCTGTTGGCTGCTAAGGCTGACAAGCCAAGGTTGACAAGTAAAAAGGCACAGTCTCGATGTTACCAAACCACACGGCAGGCCATTAATTTAAGTCCATTGTAAGTCCCAAGGTCAGCAGAGCATGGCAGGCTGCTGAACAACGACACTACACACAGGGTCCAAGCATGCCATAAGCTAGAGACTATCCCCAAGGCTTCTCCTTATATACAGGAAGTAGACCACATCCCAAAGGCAGCTACTCAGCTGCTTGTGGAAGATCCAACCAAGGAGCTGACTGCCAGTCTCATTATGGGGGAAAACTACACCAGCTGCCCAGCCACTCAACCAGGCCCAGGCAAGTTGACCTACAAATTTAACTACTACAAGAACATAACCCATTAATATGCTGTCTACAAAAGACATACCTTAGACATAAAGAGAAAAATAAAGTGAAAAATCAAAGGATGGAAAAACATATATAAAAAAAATGGTAACCTAAGAGGAGTGCAATATTGATTTCTGATAAAACAGGCAAAAAACAGTATAAGAGACAAGGAAGGGCATTATATAATGATTAAAGGGCCAATTGAACAGGAGAAAATCACCATAATCAGTATCTGCACACCCAATGAACCAAACACCAAACCCACTCATCAAGATGAATCCAACTCATGGTGACCTTATAGGACAGAGCACAACTGCCCCGTAGGGTTTCCAAGGCTTAAACCTTTACAAAAGCAGATTGAGTCATCTTTCTCCTCAGAGGCTGGTGGTTAGCCACCATCGCCCTTTTGGTTAGCAGTAGAATGCTTTAACCACTGTGTCACCAGAGTCCTCATCAAATAACAAATAACACAAGAGCCCCAAAATATATAAATCAAACTTTAACAGAATTGAAAAGAAAAATGGGCAATTCCACTAAATAGTGGTTGACTTTAATACATTACTCTCAATAAAGGATAGAAAACTAGAAAGAAACTTAAAAGACATAGAACAGATAAACAACACATGCAACCAACTTGACCTCATAGACATACACAGAACACTCCACCCAACAACAGCACAAAATACATTCTTTTCTAGCACACACGGAACATTCTTAAGAATAGAACACATCAGGCCACAAAT